ATGGACTCAGAAATATGCCATGTGATGCCACCTTAAAGTCAGAATAAACTGCATTATAGCTGGAATAAACTTTAAATTGCTGTTAAAAAATTTTTTGTCCTTTCAGGATGTACAATTCAATGTTTTCTAGTTCCTCAGAGGGGCATGACCATCACTACTACATACAGAATATTTTTATCACCCCAAAAGGAAACCCCCTATTAGCAGTCACTCCATTTCACCTTTCCCCAGCATCTGGCAACTAATCTACTTTGTTTCTATTGATTTGTCTGTTCTAATCATTTCCCAAAATGGAAGAATATGTGGTCTTTCATAACTGGTTTCTTTAACATAATTTCAAGGACCATTCATGTAATTAGTATTATGTATGACCAAATAATATTGCTTAACCATGAGCCAAAAATGTTTTCCAAAGTGGCTGTACAACTCTATCCCCACTCGCAGTGTGTAATGGTTCCAATTTCTCTACTTCCACAATGCTTGCTGTTCTTTTTGCTCTTAGACATCCTACTGAGTACGCGGTGGCATCTCTCTGGTGACATCATGTTCCCACGTCGAACATTCCTTCCTGTGTTTATTAACCAGTATATATTTTTCTCAAAAAAATTTTCATTCAGATATTTGGTCTATTTTTAAATTAGGCTTTCTTTTTACTGATTCATAAGAGTTCTTAATATATTAAGAAGTTCTTAATATAAGTTCTTAGTATATTAATATATAAAGTCTTTTTTGTGTGTGTGGTGCTGGGGATTAAACCCAGGGCCTTGTGCCTGCAAGGCAAGCCCTCTACCAACAGAGCTATCCCCATCCCTTAAAAAAAGTCTCATCAGATTTAAGGTTTGCACATATTTCCTCCCATTCTATGAGTTATCTTTTGAATTTCTTATGGTGTCTTTAGAACACAAAAGCTTTTAATATTAATAAAGTCCAATTTGTCAAATTTACTTTTGTTGCTGTACAAGTTTTGAGTGAATTCTAGGCATCTAAAAGGAATCAGTTTCAGATTTCATTTATTTATTTATTTATTTATTTTTTAATAAAGAGAGAGTGATAGAGGGAGAGAGAGAATTTTTTTTTAATATATATTTTTTAGTCATTGGTAGACACAACATGGTTGTTTGTATGTGGTGCTGAGGATCCAACCCGGGCCACACGCACGCCAGACGAGCACGCTACCGCTTGAGCCACAACCTCAGCCCCAGATTTTATTTATTTCTACTAGCGAACTGGGAATGTCATAAAATGGTTTTTCTTCTGTTTAAGACAGAAAAAACCTGATTTTATGATAAAATAATTGATATAGAAAAAGTACAAATAATAACATATATCTTATGTTTTCATTTTCCAATTTAAGAAATTTTACTAATAAAGTTGAAGTCCCTGTGTCCCTTCCATCTCCCCCTCCCAAAGGGGAACACAAACCTTACTGTTTATTCTTCTTGTGCATTTCATTATTCTTATGATATATATATCCTATATCAATATATAGTATTATTTTGTCTTCCGAGATTTTGTACAAATGGTATCATATAGTACATATTCTACAATTTGCTTTTTCTCCAGTCTACATTGCTGAGATTAATCCATGTTGGTGGAACTGATATATGTGTATAAATATTGCTCAAATTCATTAATTTCCACAATGGCTTAACACTGTATAAATACTGTGTATCCTCTTGATGGATCCACAATGAATTTGCCAAAAAATGCAAAAACTGACATCAAGCATTTTGAGCACACTGTGTCCCTAAAACCATGGCTTTTTTTTTTTTACTGCAACCCACAGTGTATTTTACCTCTCAGTGTGCTATGCGCGTGCAATCTTTTTGTACAGATGTATATCAGTATATAACAAAAGTTTCATATAATAATACTGTTCGTAATTATTTCCTACTATTCTATTTCCTTAAGCAAAATCGGATTTGTAGATAATGAACTGATCACGACTTCCCTATATAGGCTACAACCACAATGCCCAATGGTTATTATGCCAAGAAGTAGAAATGCTAGGTTATGGGGCTACACTATTAATAAGCTTGACTAGACAATTCCAGTTTTCTTAATTGCTGAAAAAATTATGTATGCTGCCACCGACAGACAAGCAAGTTGCCATTATTCTGACTTCTATTGGATTTAAATTGTAGTCCTACCTATGTGAAATATAAGTTTGTATTTCCATAATTAATCATGAGCCTGAACATCTTTTCCTGTTTATTGGTCATCTATATTTTCCTATTCCATAAACTGTGAGATAGGGAATCTATCTTTGGAAAGTTTCCATGGCTATTCCAGAGAGAAAGCTGGAACAAACACTCAGATGTGTAGTTCTGATCTATGATGTTCAAAATTGTGACCACTTGTCCAAAAAAAAAGGGAACTAATCAAGCATTATCTACTTAGGAAGACTTCTTTTCAGACCAGAAGACAGCAAAATCAGCTAAAAGAATGATGAAAAACCAGGTAGAGAAGTGAGGTTTTGTTTTTCTTAAAAAGTCCTCCCTTGAACTATACTAAAAAAAAAATCTGCTCAAGGGGTACGTTGTTACTGTTCAGTTTTCAGTTTTCCCATCTGTAAAATCAGGGTAACAATCTGTACCATTTTTTATCCCACGTAGAAACTTTGAAACAAACAGTTTTTTAAAACTTTGAAAATAAAAACTTCACAGAAATTCAAAATTGTGTGGGTGTTAGTCATTCAGTGCCCTCCGAAAGCTTAAGCAAGAGGAGCAAACTGAAGCCCTTTGAACAGCTTTTTGGAGTGAGTCGCTCTCTTGAGTTCTTGCCTGAAAACCTAATGGCTCTGCAGAACAATGAATTATCCCCTAAAATTACACAGCCTGAATTTTCAGTCTAGAAATCTAAGAGTCTCAATTTTACATGTGTCTGCTAAATCCATTATAGCAGACACATAGCCTTTCTGGGGTCTCCTATTTCCTGGAAAGGCCTATTATAGCTCACTCATCCACCCTCTGGTCTGATCCCCTTCCACCCAAAAGTCAGTTTTGCTTTAGAAATCAGCCAAATGAATTAGAACTCAATACCTCACCTTCCCACTCCCAGGATGAAACAGTCACAGAAAGGAACAGATCTGACACCTCTTCATCAAAGCACAAAGGATAAAACTGGTATCAAATAGCTTCTTTCACCGGAGAATAAGAAAGTAGACAAGTTCAATTTACAACCAAGGGATAGTCCCAACCAGTAGGCCAGGATCTAGGAGCAGATCACACCTGTCACTTACTGAGGTTTGACTTTGCTCACTTTCATTCCCATCCTTTATATATCCACCCTACCAAATGGGACTTCAAGGTTTAGCAGAAAGAAACAGTGAAGCCTCAGCACACAAAGGGATCCCTGCCTACAGCCACTTCCACCTAGCGGGCATTTCACCTGTAGAGCTATATATAGGCAGTATTGGAGTGAGCAAACAAGATAGCATCATATGACATCCAGGGCAAGTTAGTGCTCTTTCCAGACTCTGACACTCATGACAATCATCTGCATCTTTTTATGAGCTCATTGCTCCATCTGCTAACTTCTACTGCCTTCTTTTGCTCCAGACAGATTCTCCCAAAGTTCCATTATAGCTGGGGAACTTCTCTATTTCTGTGCACCACTGCTTTCAAAGATGGAGTCAGGAAAGTAAAGAAAATCAAACCTACCAATAAAGTCAAGGAATATTCCTTCACAGAGAAGTAACAAAGTTGAAATAGAATCTAGAAGAAATTCACCTTACTCTGGTTGCAAAAATGAAGCTGAAGAAATACGTATGTATTTGGTAAGAGTTTTATTTGTAATTTTCTTCTGTTTAGACTAAAGTTATAAACAGCTGGCATCTACTGTGAAAAACACTGAGGGAAGAAAAAGCCAAGAGCCAACAGAATAGAAGGGAGAAGCCCAAGTGAGATCAAGAACTACCCACAGAGGGCTGTGGATAAAGCTCAGTTGGTAGAGTGCTTGCCTTGCATGCACAAGGCCCAGGGTTAAATCCCAGCACCACACACACACACACACACACAAAAAAAAAAACCCCTATCTACAGACTTTACTTACTTAAATCTGTCCTTCAAAGGCAGTTTTCAAGGATGAAACAATTCAAAAGTAAGGTCCCAGATAAATAATTTTATTCTAGAGTCAAAGAAGAGTTTCCCATAGGCACTCACATGCCTAAATCTCAAATACAATGAAGTATAAAAGAAGCATTAAAAAAAAAAACTGAAAACATTTCCTACTTTTAACAGTTGTTAAAGTCTAATTGTTAACAATCTCTTTCAGTGCAGCCAGAACTAAAAATTCCTGAGGTAAATAAAAGATTCAGGAGTTAGGTGATTTAATAAAGATAGGTTTCAGTCTCCTTGCCTCCTAATTCTCCCTCATGTGAAGTTAAAACCCCTTTAAAAGAAATTTCCAATGTCATAGGAATTATATATCACAGAATTTTATCATTTATACCTTGCCTGAAACCACATCTCCACTCCTCTGAATGTGTAGCATAGAATCATGAGATGTTAAATATGATAGCCCCTATAATTTTGATAAACAAAAAATTTGAAAGTTGGGCCAAACTAGGGGGAAAGTTCATAAAGTTATTTCTGAAACAGTCTACACGGTATGTCAAATGTAGGAAGTCAATGCATCTTATCCGGATGTGCCGGTCTCTGGAAAATGATCAGCAGGTGAGTTTGGTTCCCAGGAGCACAGGTGCCCCAACACTACATAGCTTTAGCCCTCTCTAAAACCTGGTCCTAGCTGAAGGGGAAGTAAAGTCTACAGGAAAGCAGCTGTAAAGCTATTTTTTCTAGATCTGACAGATAACAGGATACCTGGCAAAATATCTTGGTAGTAGTATATAGATCTCTTTTGGAAAAAAAATCAGGCATCTTATTATGATCTATTAACAAAACATCCACTTTCACATATGAAAGGTAACTTGGGAGCTGCTCCAGGAACCATGAAATTAACTGAAGCAAACAGAAAAAAAAAATCCTCAGAAAATATCATTGTTTAAATACACTCTATTTTATTTTGTCTTAAAATAGTTTAACCTTTATGCTACAGACTTATTTCAAAAAACAGAAAATCTTATCTTGCACCAAAAAATATATATATAACACTCTGTTTTATTATTTTTTTCTCCAAAGACCATTAAATACTAAATGGAAACAAAAACTAAATAATGAACGTAACGAACCAAATTTCATTTTAAAAACTAGAGTTGCACATTTGAAAACATTACTTCTACGCAATGATTTGTCGTCACTGCATCAAGTCCACGCTCACACCCCAGCAACAGCAGATCTGTTAATCGCCAAGTGCATTGGTTCCTAGCCATACAATGGCTGACATTTCTTGTTCACGGTAAGGGGAGTAAAAGGTTCGATGACCTTGTACTCTTAAACAAAACAACAACAAAAATATTTCCTAGTTATCCAGTGATTTTTTTTTTAAGATCACTACCCTTTAAAATTTGTTAAAATAATAAGAAGTAGTGTTTTAAATAAAATGAAAAATTACAACAGCATTGGACTAAAATACGTGATTATTTTAAACAAACAGTGCACAATATGAGGAAGTTTGGTTAGGGTGCAATCATTTTTATATATACACATACTGGAGAACAGGGATTAGGGGCTCCGTTCTTTGCCTTTATGAAAACAAAAAGATTAAAAGACAAAACTGTGTCCCAAGCTTTTTCAAAAACCTTCTGACATGGTATAAAAAAAGCAGGCAACACAATTCTTTTAAGTTATGTATGGTGTTAATCTGCAAAAGTAAAGATGAACAAATGGCTAAATTATCAAATCATACGGTTTGTGTTAGAAACTGGTAACAAAAAAAAAAAATTATGGGATGCTCAATTGTAAATACTGAAGTTCACTCGGTCTGGCCCCACCATCAAAATGAAAAACAATTACTGGTGAGCAGCAATTTAAAATTACGGGGCAGTCATGATGATGCAATAGATAGATTGCTGGTCTATTTTTTCAAACTGGAGGGGCAGAGAATTTAACCAAGTTGGTGGGATCAGCCAATCTATGACCCAGCTGTACGACTGTAATAGAGATATTACTTTGAACAAAGTCCTGTAAGCATAAAGAACTACTTACATTACCAAATGCAAAAGTTTGGTTAAGAAAACGATTCCTTTAAAAGAAATTTCAAATGTTACGTGAGTTGTGTATCAAAGAATTTTATCACTTAAATACCTTGCCTGAAACCACATCTCCACTCTTCTAGAAATAGCAATGAATGAAGAGCTGAAACATCCTCTAGTTGTTAGGTGGCAAAATTCCAACCTAATAGGTAGGGGAAAAAGCTCACTGCCTCTAACATCCCTTCCCTTTCCCTTTTTGCATCTTAATGCTTAAATCTCTGCTCTGGTACATCAGGTGAGGTAATGAAGAAGCTGGAAACAGAACAAGTGAGAAAAAAACTGCAACCTAATGTAAAAGCAAAAGGTCAGAAAAGGGCTTGGTTGCAGTCCAACTTCTTCCCCAATCCACAGTGCACAAAGCACACCAGAAAGTATTCTTCTTAGAGGATGACTATTAGGGGCTAAAGAAAATGTGTCATGGGAAATAACTGGACAAAACATACTATTAACATTAAAATAGATAATACGAGAAACATTCTTTAAAATGGGGCTGTGACCTGAAACTGGGGGGAAAATAAGCTGCAAGAACTTCAAGTTATATACTCCACTCTACTCTCTTCCCAATGATTTTCCTGGAAAACACAGACCAGAAATTGTACATTTCTGCTTTGTCTAGTATTTTAATTCAAGTAAAAAAAATGTGTAACAGTAAAATTCAATAAATTAATCCTAAAGTAAGATGTGAAGGTCCAAGGATACACCAGTAGTGAATCTTCAGAAGGTCCTGCTTCGCTCTGGCCTCTAGGTCTTTGGTTTTTGTCTAGGATTATAGCCATGTGAAAGAATGATACATGAGGCGCTAGAATTGGAGGTTTGTGATCTTAAAGGCCTGACCAATTAAAAGTAGGTTGGAAAAAAATCAAAAGTTGAAGAACAGAGGCCAGATCAAATGAGATGCTAATAGAAAAATCAAAGAACACATGCTGAAGTACATTTCTGTAGAAAAAGGGGCATACAGAATAACTCAAGTAACAGGAAGTAGGGTAAAGGAATAAACTTGTTTTTATATTTAAAAAAAAGAAGAAAAGGCCAGGCAGGTAGAGCCAGGCAGACTCTGATGCATGCACATGCAAGCTGTGCCTTCATTCATCTCAGGGCTTCCATGCACCCACCCTGCACAGTGCTTGATGCAGAGCAGGCACTTGGTAAATGTGTGTTCACTGAATGGAAACTGAAAATGGCAGATCTTGTGGTCTTATGATCAGTAAGAGTCACCAAGGCATTTGGGGAAAAAAGCAAAGGGCATAGCAACTTCATACCATAACAATGGAAACAAAAAAACAATTTAAGAAGCAAACAAAAACACTGAAAAACAAAAGGTGAAGTCTTCTGAGCCAATATTACTTCACACCTCCCTGTGCACAATACATAGTGTTCTAACTCTAGGTATTGCTTTTAAAATAATTCACTAGTATCTACATGTTATAGGAAAAAAGGTAGTAACTAATGCCACAAAACTCCAATGCTGGCATTTCCTGAATTCCCTGAAGTTTCCATTACCCTTTGCTATTATTACTTTTTGATACTGTGATACTTTTTGATACAGTGCCATTAATATGGTTTGCACTGACTTCTTATGACTTGTTTGTTCTTATGATATTTTTTTTTAGAAGGTAGAGAAAAAAAAACCCAAATATGATATCAGGTCCAGTTCAGCTTAGGTACTGAACAGTTGTCATACACGCCTTATGGAGAGATCAGCTTTGAAAGAAGGTACTTTTCTCTCAAGACTTGCAAACGCCTGAAGACTCAGAAGCCACTCAGTTTTTCATAGTCTTCCTAGGAAATAGTTTTCTAAGTTCTCCCATTATTTTAATAAATCGGGGAAAAAAAGAAAAAAGACTTTCCCACTAATCTCTCAACACTATCTCCACATGCCCAGAAAAACCTCTTGATGGTTACCAATCCAGAATGCCTCTGCTCCAAAGGAGACATTCTTTAGAACATTATGAATTATTGCAGCAAGGAGACTAACTAAGTCACCTTAACAGTATTTAGAAATATAAAGGGGCATGTCAATTATTTGTGTTGTGAGGAAGTCAACCAGGAGTAAAGTCAGGAAAGAAGGCAGAAGACTTAAGCTGAAAGAACAAAACACTTGTAATACTTCTGTCTTCTATTTTTAAGGACAGATTTTAAAATACACATGCCCTATCAGGTGCCAATAAGGACCTGAGTGATATGTGTGCGAATGCCCTAAGGTGGGAGTGACAATGAAGTGGGCAGATAGTGGTCAAGTCTAGATATTAATTTCATTATACAGAAAAATAAATACAAGATTCAGAAACTGAAATCCACTTTACTTGGCAATTAAACTATTATTCTAAAAGGAAGGCAACTTTCCTAAGATTAAAAGTCACCAAGTAAAATGAAGTTGTCTAATGAAATTCATCATTTTCATATTCCTACTGAGGGAAAGAAGAAATTATTTTCTCTGTGATAAGTTATTTTCCTAAGTGACTTCTTTTAATTAAAAAAAAAATAAACAAACAAACAAAAAAACAAGGTGTGGAGAGGTTTCCATGAGTTTCAATTCTACAAATGTCACAAACAGCTTCTGAAGCTGAAGCTATGACAATGAACTTCTGTGTCACAAAGAAGAGGAGGAAGTGGGAAGTGGGAGGAAACAGTGCAGAGGAAACACAGTGACATTGTATTACAGTAGGTATTTACGCCTGCTATCCTCATCCAAGGTAAGATCAACAACTTCTGCTGGTGAAGCCCAAGTCTGCTGGGGGGTCACAGTAGTCCATGACTGGTTTTGCCGGGTGCTAACATACTGTGTGCCAGAGCCGTGTTTCCATGAAGAAACACTCTGAATCACACCCCCTCTAGGATGAACACACCTGCAACAAAGATGAAGAATAAAAGCATCATTAACCTCACCAAAGGAAAACCAAAAGACAACATTACTTTAGTTGTACTGATCAATATTTTTACTATTATGCAAGTTTCATGAAATCCATAATCGATATTCTTCTTCCTTTTCTCTCCTCCTCCATATCTGCCTACCTCCCAACCCTCTCTGTCTCTCAGTTTAGCAGTAAAAAGGCCAAGTGCCTTGTCTCAGTCATAAACTCTGTGTCCAAATTAACTAACAATGGGTAAGATGATGCTTTCCTGGATGCATTTAAATCTCTGGCATCTTCATCAAGGGACAATACATATATCCACAACAAAATTAAGATTCCAAATCTTAGTTGGAACAAATGAAAGAGTAAGCAAAATAGGTAAAATTTGTTCTTAAAGTAAATTTTTTCTATATTTGAGTAATAATACCTTTAAGATAGTTACAGATCAGACTTCTAAATGTTTGTTAAGTATCATACTTAACAAATGCATCCAGGAAAGCATCATCTTACCCATCTCATCCTGAAGGTCACAACAGAAACACTTAGCTCATTAATTAGATATGCTTATGCTTTGGTTTGGTGTTTAAAAAAAAAAAAAAACAAGGCTGAAGTAATCAATTTATATCCCCTAAAAGGACCTATCAGAGACTCAGAACTGCCTTGCTGACAAATCAAAACCATTTCACACTGACAGCTTAAACACCACATTCCAGTCAAATGAGAGAACTCAGAGCCTCCAAGATGAAGCAGTGAGTAAGCTCTGACTCAAATGAGTGGAAAGCAGGCAGCTCGAGCTACCACTGCCACTTATGTCCTCATATCTATATCACTGACTAGTACCCACGCAGCTTATGTGAGAAATGTCAAGTGGCATGAGTTTTATTAACTGAACTCCTGAAGTGGCTCCTGACTAGTTATTCTGTCAATAAGTGTATCGTGAGTAATGCAGGTCACTTGAGAATTCCAATTTTGATTTAAATGCTGCCTGTATCACACAAGGTTTAAAAGAATATGAAAGTGACAACAAACATGATTCAGTGAAGACACTGTCCCAAGGACCCTTGGACTCCTGGAAAGAGGCCTGCCATCTGTTCAGAAACGGGCTAGTAATAGGCCAGAATAAGCTAGGATAGTAATAGGCTAGATTACCTAGTAAAAAGCATTAAAGTAGGGGACAATATCTAATCCACTGCTGTCCAAACAATTAAGTAAACTACAGTCATAAAATAATGTCCACCAAAGGAGTCTATTCAGCATCTATGGAGATGGTTTTAACGACCAATGACCAACAGAACGTGATGTTTACAAGGTAGTTTCACATGGCTTCACTGGACAGTTACAACAGACCTGTGAGAGAGACATGGAAGTTATTATCCATACTCTATAGGTAAGGAAATTAAGGCTTAAATAGATGACATAATTTGCACAGGTCAAATTGCTTGAAAGTTGTAGGCCAAGGAATTTCAAAGCAAATCTGACTGATTTCAGGCCCCAAAATGCTCTGTCACTTTACAAATGTATGTATTGTATTATATGAGGAGTAAAACTGCAAGATATCAGAAGAGTACAAAGATGGGTCCAAACTAAAATTTGGTTCCCACACCCCCACAGTGTTAGGGAATATAACCCAGGGTTTTGTACATGCTAGGTAAGTACTCTACCACTGAGCTACATCCCTCTCCCCCAGATTAACAATTAAAAAAAAAAATAAAGTTTTTCAACAATTCAAAAGCTTATTTGCATAAGCATTAACTGAAGTCAAATTATCCAGAAACCTAGTAAGAATTCAAAGATAATGGCTACCAAGAGAATTAATGTTATCTTTGGCAGAATCTTAGAAACTTCAAAGCAAAAGAGGAATTAAAAGTCCCAATTGTTACTATGCACTGCTTTCCAAGTAACTCCACTATGTAATATATAAAGCAGTATTTTTTTTAAAAAAAATCTAATCTAATCTGTTTATAGTACAGAAGAGAAAACCAGAGCCAAAAGACAATTGCCCTAGACCTTAAGCAATGGGAACTAAAACAAAACCATGTCTCCATTCAGGAGTTTGTTTTCCACTAAATTACTATCTTTCCTCAGATGTAGCTTAAAGGACTATACTATGTGTGACTGACAGGAGCACTGCATGCATGGTCCCGGGGCCATATGACAACAGCAAAGAAGACTGTACAGAGCACTGGTAGGAAAACAATTAGGAATAACAGGTTTAAAGAGGCCATATTTACTACCGATGAATGGATGAAGGAGAAAAGAATACGGAGATGAAGCACTTCTTCAACTATTAAAACAGATCACTTTTAAAGTTATGCAACAAGTGGTGACAGTTACCACCAACCAACTTAGGCCTCTTGAGCAAAAGAGGAAATTTAATAAAAGGACACTGAAGCACCTGAAAGAACATAAAGATGACAGAATGAGCCCCAACTCATGTCTGTTTCTCCTTAAAATTTTAGATTCTCTGGGCTGGGGATATAGCTCAGTTGGTAGAGTGTTTGCCTTACATGCACAAGGCCCTGGGTTCAATCCCCAGCACCACAGGAAAAAAAAAAAAAAGATTCTCTGAAGAAAACATACCATTTCTGGACCAAAGCTTTCCTACCTCTAATTAGTTATAGATGATTAAGTCAACTTTTGCCATGGCTAGCTTACCATTCAAAAAAAAAAAAGTTAAAAATTAATTTTATTTGGTCAAGCTCAGTAGCACTTATAATTCCAGCAACTTGGGAGGCTGAAGCAGGAGGATTGCAAATTTGAGGCTGGCCTCAGAAACTTAGCAAGGCCGTAAACAACTTAGTGAGACCCTGTCTCAAAATAAAAAAAAAATAAAAAGGGCTAGGGATATAGTTCAGTGGTAAAGTGCTCCTAAATTCAATCCCCAGTATGTATGCATGTATGCATTAATTAATTAAGCTGATTATTTTTGCTTTCATTTACAGATAATGAAGGTGACCTCTTAGATAATATTCCTACCTAGTTTTCTTAACTGAAATGAATTCTTTTGACTATAGGGAAAAGTTTGTTTTCTTCCTAGCTTCTAGTGTTAATGTTATCCACTGGTTCTTAAATACAAAAGTTTAATATACCAATTCATTTACTGAGGGATTAACCAACATTAACATTGATGACCACAGGGTTAATAAACTCAAATAAATTTATAGCCTGCTTATTTACAAGTCTTAGAACAGGTATCAAAGAAACTGTTCCCCAACAGTTCCCTAACAAAGATCTATGCTGTGTGCATTCATCTTCCTAGGAAAACTACTACTGAGGCTAACAGAAGAAAAGGACAAAGGAAAATATTGGCATGAGGATCAGAAACGTGTGGCAAGAATAAGCACTAGAGAACAACTAGACATCTCAGGAAAGTCTTCATCTTTCTAGCAACATTTTTTTGAAACTGGATTGTCCCAAAATTAACATCTAGAAATAACAATTTAGATGCCAGGAGGTCACTACAGCACTACAAGGCAGATATACAAGATGCATTCAACCATTAACTCAGAAAGCATGCCTCTCATCTATAGCTAGAAGAAACATAGAAGCCAAGAGAACATATCAAAATCTGAAATAAAAGAATAGGGAACAATACCAGCATACAAGAAAAACTTTATGGGGGAGGGGGAATGCATATCACAACCAGAATGAATTCTTAAATATAAAGAAATGGCACCCAACACAAATCAGAAAATTCAACCCTAAAGAATACAAAGACCAAGTATGAGTTTTTAAAACTTTCAGAAAGCCCATAACAATGTAGACTATCAAAAGAAAAATAAGAACAGTGCAACTAATCCAAACAAAACATCTATACATGCAAATCAAACGAGAACAAAAAGCTATGGATCAAAACCTAAAGCATTTTTCCAAGCGATAGCCCTACCAGGAGCACCTCAGTACTTCGCAACTGCAACCCTAGACCTGTGGAAAAAAAGAAATTCCAGATGAGACACAGGTAGCCAAAGGAGTAAAGCTACCAAGAAGAAAGCTTCTTCCCTACCTGCTTCCTAGTGTTTGAAACTCAATGTCTGAAAGATTTATCAGGTTACTTCTAAAGAAACTGTTGGGAAAAAAAATTAAAAAGAACAGAGTCAGTAAGCTTCTACCCAGCCCTAGACTCAAACCATATAAAATCTATCCTCAAAATGATAGAGGATTTAGTTAAAAATATTCCAACAGACTCTGTGAATTCTACAACCCATTGTATGGATAGCTACCAATGAGGTTTCAAAATGGATTGGTCACCTGTAAGACACTATTTTTCCAAGTTTCAAACCAATGGATCAGAATGAAGTACAGCTTTATGTCCAGGGTATGTAAGAAAAAGTCCTTGAAAGTCATGATATAGCATGGTATTTTAAAATGTAGCCAAAGTCATTAGTTCAAGAGTAGAATGAACATGTCTCCAGAATGAAACAACAATTTGGATAAAAGACCTTCAGTTCAGAGATGGGATGTACGAGAGACAGAGACGGAGACGGAGACGGAGGGGGGGGGAGAGAGAACGTGTGTGTGTGTGTGTGTGTGTGTGTGTGTGTGTGTGTGTAGGAGTGTGTATAGGAATGAGTATGTGTGTAGAGAAGGAGGGAGGGAATGGAATCCAGAATTTCAACTTCGAAGTTTCCATAAAAATATGATAAGCACACCTGCAATCTCAGCAGCTCCGGAGGCTGAGGCAGGAGTATCTCAAGTTCAAAGCCAGTCTCAGCAAAAGTGAGGCGCTAAGCAACTCAGTGAGACCCTGTCTCTATAATACAAAAAAGAACTGGAGATATGGCTAAGTGGTCAAGTGGCTCTGAGGTGAATCCCTGGCACCCTCACCCTCAAAAAAAAAATTTCATAATGGTAACAACTTAATGAGGCCAACAACAATGGAATCAATCACCCAGGCAGAATCATAACAGAGTAGTTTAGATTGTAGGAATTTCTGTTGCTACTGAGGAAATTTTTTATTCATACCAATAATACATTATTTTGAATTTTGTCAAAATATATGTACTGGGTTGTATATCATGCTATAGGATAGTAAATTTGGTGTATATCTTTCTAATGTTTAAAGTAATATAATAAATCTAAGAAATTTTTAGTTTTCAACATTATGTAATCAATGTTTAACATTTGACACAATAATTATAAGGAATTTCAACTTAGTGGTTACTATTGCCTAATGTTCAAATAATAAAGAATAAAATATTTAAGGAAAAAAAATAATAAAAATTCTTCCCAGGCATGGTGGTACATGACTTGGGAGCCTGAGGTAGGAGGATCATAGAGTTTAAGCTAGCCTCGGCAACTTAGTGAGACTACCTTACGATAAAAAAGCTCAGTGGTAAAGTGACCTTCGGCTCAATCCCCTGTGTCAGTCTGTCTGTCTGTCTGTCTGTCTGTCTGTCTGTCTGTCTGTCT